GAAATTTGTTCTATTCCTTCCGCTACTTACGAAAAATTTCGAAATTTCAAAAGCGATTCTCATCCACCACTATTTTGCAACCGTCAGGCAATGTAATTCCTCGTTCTTCTGAGCATAAAGCCAAGATTGGGGCTTGATTGTGTGCAAAGTTCCAAATTTCAGTCACGTTTCATGCTGTATAAAAGGCATTTCCGATCATATCTGACCACTGTGCATTGTCTCTAATCAATGGTAATGCTTTCAGCTGTTGTTTGTAAACTAGTTTCAATATTGGCCGCAATTCTCGGCTATATGACATACAGGCCGAACGACCTAGACAACGGTTTGTCCGTACAAACGGCCGATAGTCGAGGGCCGCTCTCTCTGACTGTGAATGATGATCGACCCGTGATTAACAGTAAAGTTCTCGAAAGTATTGATGGTGCCGAGAGCTGACACTGGCTTTCTTTGTAATATATATTGTTGTTGTAATTGATTTTAATCGCATAAAGGAATGAAGATGATGACTTAACGATTTCGACGATTGAATGTAATTTGATTGATGAATGTATGAATAAAATGATCGACATGAATATCTCAGACGTTTTCACTGATTTATTATTATTATTATTGCTGTTGTTAATGAATTGATTTGATTTGATCTGATTTGTTCATGTTATTGCTGTTCATATCACTTGATGATTATAGCCGTTTTCAAAAGCTTCATATTGACAATTATTGTTGAAATCATAATGGTTTTGTTATTGTGTATTGAGAATAGAAGCATATGAGTTTATTCAGTACTTTCGTGAATGATTAAGTTGAATTGCGATGATTTTAATATGATCTTTGCAGTTTTGCTGAGTTGATCGCGTAGAAAGTGCTGATGCTACGATTGTTATGAATTTTATTCAGTAACTTACTCGATCGTGAGACTTATTCAACAATTTTGCGAAAATACTTACAGATAGTGAGCTATCAGTGAACGATAATNAACTTACTCGATCGTGAGACTTATTCAACAATTTTGCGAAAATACTTACAGATAGTGAGCTATCAGTGAACGATAATCAAATTTCGATAAGTGAGTGGCAAAGAATCTGAATGCTCGCAATATTTCACATGGAACGGAAGGCATTGATCTGTTTTGTATCAAAGAACTTTCTAATTTTCGTTATCATCACTTTATTCACTGTCCATTCACAGTGCTGATCCACTCCAGTCACTGTCATATCCAACGACCTAAAATCGTTCATATTCTCATTTCACTTATCATTTTGAGCAACCAAACCCTCGCAAAAAACATCCACTCTGTGATAGTTTAATGACTTCATTTGTGCAGAAAATCATAACTAATCTACGCAACCATTGACCACGTATCATGATGACTTCAATTACCATCATTTACTATGAGTAGTCGTGCTGATTTTGGAAAAGTTTGTCATTGTTGAAAGTAAATCTCATTGTCAGTTTCAAAACTAATTGACATACACATATTTTGAGCTGATTTTCCACTGA